TCATAATGAAACTATTAGGTATCGAATACAAGCGCAGTTTCTATAAATGTAATAAGTAGCAGCTAAATTTGGACGGGCCAAACTTTCAATACCTCCACCATTTTGAAGAAAATTTAAAATTTTCAAAAAAAAAAAAATATTAGCTTTGTTTGGACGGGCCGAATTTTTAATAACCTCCACCATTTTGAAAAAAATTTAAAATTTTCAAAAAAAAAAATTGAAGACGTGGACCTGCATAGGCAATTTTCTGTCATAGGCTGTAGTATCCATTACGAAGTTCAATATGAAATTTGAAACAATTCCGCTAAAAAGTGCCGCTCAAATCATCAAAATACCGAATATCGAGAGGTACGGTTATATGGGGGCTATACCAAGACGTGGACCTGCACAGACAATTTTCTGTCATAGTCTGTAGTATCCATTACGAACTTCAAATACGAAATTTTAAACAATTCCTGTTAAAAATGACGCTAAAATCATCCAAATATCGAAAATTGGGAGGTACCCTTAAATGGGGGCTATACGAAGACTTGAACCTGCATTGGCGATTTTCTGACATGGGCTGTAGTATCCATTACGAACTTCAACTACGAAATTTTAAACAATTCCGGCGAGTAATGCCGCTAAAATCATCAAAATACCGAATATCGAGAGGGTACGGTTATATGGGGGCTATACCAAGACGTGGACCTGCACATACAATTTTCTGTCATAGTCTGTAGTATCCATTACGAACATCAAATACGAAATTTTAAACAATTCCTGTGAAAAATGCCGCTAAAATCATCCAAATATCGAAAATTGGGAGGTACCCTTAAATGGGGGCTATACGAAGACGTGAACCTGCATAGGCAATTTTCTGTCATAGGCTGTAGTATCCATTACGAACTTCAACTACGAAATTTGAAACAATTCCGGCGAGTAATGCCGCTAAAATCATCAAAATTCCGAATATCGAGAGGTACGGTTATATGGGGGCTATACGAAGACGTGGACATGCATAGGTAATTTTCTGTCATAGGCTGTAGTATCCACTACGAACTTCGAATACGAAATTTGAAACAATTCCTCTAAAAAGTTTCGCTAAAATCATGAAAATACCGAATATCGGGAGGAATCGTTATATGGGGACAATACGAAGACCTGGACCTACATTAACAAATTTTTGTCATAGGTTGTAGAGACCATTACGAACTTCAACTACGAAATTTGAAACAATTCCGTTAAAAAGTGTCGCTAAAATCATAAAAATACCGAATATCGGGAGGTACGGTTAAATGGGGCTCTGCGAAGACGTGGACCTGCATAGGCAATTTTCTGTCATAGGCTGTAGTATCCATTACAAACTTCAAATACGAAATTTTAAACAATTCCGCTAAAAAGTGTCGCTAAAAGCAAATCGACTTAGAATTTTGAACTCCATAGAATGGTGGAGGGTATAAAAACTGCCAGGGCAGGGGATACCCAATTAGCAAAAAAAAATTAACTTTCCTTGTAAAATATAGAAAAAAATGGCAAAGAAGTGGTATTTCGGAGGGTAGCAAGGCCCTTACACTGCATATGTCCCTGCTTCAGAGGTCTTCCCTAGATGAATTGCTTTTGAGGATGACTTGCCAAAGGCTGGAATGACTTTGACTTCCTTTGAAATTTAATATTTTATTTTAGTTTTTTACCTTTACTCTTCAGCTACCCCATCCCTCCATTGACTTTTGCTCTTTAGGAGTAATTTTGAATTAAACACCTTTAAAGCAAAATACCTCTGCAATGCCAAAAAAATAACAAATTCGTGGCTAATGTCACCCCACCGCAAAAAAGGTAAACAAAAGCAAAAAAAAAAAAAAACAAATCCCAAAAATAAAACACCATTTGTTTACCTGCAAAGCAACCAAACCTACCGAAAATAATCTGAGTACCCACTAAGTGTTAGTAAATTGTATGGCAAATATTTATGTAGCCATTCTTCGAATGGATGGATGTTTGTAAGTCAATTACAATGCGTGAGTCAATGCGTTGTGAGAACAATGTTACACGTGATATTTCATTTCTTTTTTGGTTTCAGTTGCCCGAAATTAGAGCGAATCTCCCCCCTGGGAGGAATTTTAATTTATTATGCTATGGCATTGACGTCAATAAATAATAAATATTTTTCGAATAACTTCTTTGGCAAAAAATTCTTAAACAAAAGCCGAAACGTGGGCATGGGAGGCCATAAGGGATATGTCGAGTTTAAGGTGATCAATTTGTTACGGAAATTGACCGCGAAGAAAGAAAATAACAAATGATATCCAATTTCTAGATCCAATTAAAATAATAAATAATAAAACAAATACATTAGTAATTTTCCTCGTATATGAGACGTATACTTATTGAAATGTTTTAAAATAATATTACTTATACGTCCAGAGATTAAAAAAATATTTGAAAATCGTAGTCAAACATTCTGAACAACAAATAAACTCGTTGGCCATGGGTGCGTATGATTGATTCTAATAGAAAGTACTTTAATAGAATTTATCATAACTCTGTTAGTTTTGAAGATTTTTCCATACATTTTTTTCGATTCGGGAAGCTAAGAATTTGCGTTTCCTAGGAAAAATATTGAAATAAATCTTAAAATAAGTATTTATAAAATATTTCAGTAAATTTTACAAAATGTTTTTGATAGTAAATTAAAATAAAACATTAGCAAGCAAAAAAATTATTTTACTGGTAACTGGTGGTGATACGTATACGTGTTGATATATTATAAAAAGAATTCCCAAACAAATGAAAAAATATTTCTGGAGATTAGAAAAATATTCCAAAAATGGTAGCCAAACGACCTGAATAGCAAATAAACTTTTTGGCCATGGGTGCGTATGATTGATTCTTATAGGAAAGTACTTCAATAGAATTCATTATAACTCTGTTAGTTTTGAAGATTTTTTTATACATTTTTGGATTTGAGAAGCTAAGACTGTCCTTTTCCTAGGAAAAGTAGAGAAATAAATCTTAAAATAACTAATTATATAATATTTCACCAAATAAAAGAGAATCAAATACTATTCGGATTAAAAGGCTATGGACAAGGCTGCGTATGATTAATATAAATAAAAAGTACTCGAATTAAATTGCCTATATCTCGGGCAGTTGTAAAGATATTTACAAATTTTTTTTGGTAGTAAATTAACCTAAAAAGAATAGCAAGCAAGAAAAATAGTTTACTGGTTAATGAGACGTATAGGTGTTGATATATTATAAAATAATATTACTTATACGTCTAGTAGTTCCCAAAGCAAATGAAGAAATATTTGAAGCCTCCGGAGATAAGAAAATTTTTCAAAAAATGATAGTCAAACTTCCTGAATAGCAAATAAACTTTTTGGCCATGGGTGCGTATGATTGATTCTAATAGAAAGTACTTGACTAGAATTCATTATAACTCTGTTAGTTTTGAAGATACTTCCATACTTTTTTTGGATTCGGTAAGCTAAGAATGTCCTTTTCCTAAGAATAATATTGAAATAAATCTTAAAATAACTGATTATAAAATATTTCACCAAATGAAAGAGAATCAAATATTATTCGTATGACAAGGCTTTGGCCAAGGGTGCATATGATTGATATAAATAACAAGTACTCCAATGAAATTGGTCATATCTCCGGAAGTCTAAGAAGATACTTTCCATTTTGTTTAAACTTTGGGAGCTATCATTTCATCCTTTTAGAGGAAAATATAGATACAAATCTTTAAATTCCAATTTTCCTAGCTTTCATACAAAACAAAAAAGGAAAAATACCAAAAATTCAAGTGAGAGACTTATCGTCTTGAGAAGTGATTTCATTCTAATTTTTCTCAAGAAGCCCATAAGATTTATGATTTCACGTTTAAGTAAGTATTATTGCACTGCCTAGGCTATAAAATATGCAGCTCTTCAGTTAATATAACATTTGGCACATGCTGTGTTTATTTTAAATAGATGGGGAAGACTCCAAATTATTTTCAATATTTTCTCGTTTATGGAAGGCAAGAGTTTAATATTTTGCTTTTTACCAAAAAAAAAAAAAAACAAAAAGAAACAATTCTTTAAATTTCAAATTCAAAGTTTCCCTGCCAAATGAAGGAAGAACTGGATACAATTTGAAAGAAATTCCATTATTTCCAAAGATTCTAGCCTAGTTATTCGACACAAACGTTTATAATTTACAATTCCTAACATAAATTCTCATTATTGCTTCTTTTTATCTACGACATATCCATTATTTCATTAAATACAATTTTGACCCATGCTGCGTATGACTGTTATTAATAAAAAGTACATTTAATAAATTATCCATATCTCTGGATATTTTGAAGATATTTTCGATATCTTTTCGTATATTAAAAGCTAAGAATATGCTCTTAAAAAAAAATAAAGACAAAATTCTTAAAATAGCAATGCACATAGTTTTCAAGCAAAATAAAACAAATTTGTAAAAATTTGCAAAAAATAAATGTGACATTTCGCCGTCAGCAATGATTTTGGTCTAGTTATACTCACTAAACGCCCTAAGATTTATGATTCCAAGTCAGAATGAGTATTATTTCCATGCGTAAGCTACGAAGTGTACGTTATACCGATAAATGTAACATTTGGCCCATGATGCGTATGACTGTTATTAATAGAAAGTGCATGTTACAAATTATCCTTATCTCTGGAAGTTTTCAAGATATTTTCAATTTTTTTTCGCGTATTGAATGCTAGGGACGTGGTCTTTTAATGTCTCAATTATTGCACTTTTTTATTTACAATATATCCCTTAATTCATTAAATATACATTTTATCCTATGCTGCGTATGATTGTTATTAATAGAGAGTACATCTATTAAATTGTTCATATCTCCGAAAGTTTCCAAAATATTTCCAATTTTTCTTCGGTTTTGGAAAGCCAAAAGTTTTCTCTTTTAGTAAAGAAAACAAAGTTTCCAAAAAAATTTTGTAAAATTCAAAATTTCCCCCTAATGTTATCGAAATATTCACCTGAAATCGCAAACATATCCATGTTAACGAACTCCAAATACGACTTTTCGGCTCCGTTATGGACAGCGTTGTATTCGCCGTATGCACCGAATGTTGTGAGATTACCGAACGATGTGAGGCCGCCGATAAGGAACGTTGATGATGGCGACGACTGCCACTGCCCACCACAATGCCATTGCCGCCAATTAGGCTTGTGGGCAAATCCAATGATGTCGAACCTTTTATGGTAATATTTTCTTGTAAGGCGGCACTGGGATGTGTCAACAGCATTGTGGGCACACTGAGGACTGTGGAATTAACGCGGCGATGTGTGGGAGCAATGGGCGGCGGTGGTGGTGGGGCAGCCGAGGCGGTGGCAATGGATGAACGATGTGTTAACAGACGTTGTGAAGTTCCTGTTGCGGTTGTTGTTGTTGTGGCTGTTGTGTGGGCAGGTGATGCAGTTGTTCTTGTTGTTGTATTGTCTAAATCAATTTCAGTGGTTGTTGTTGTAGTGGCCAAAGAACCTGAGATATTGTCATCCATGTGGCTAGCTGTGTGGAGATGATGATGCTGCTGCTGCTGATGATGAGTTGTGGGTAAATGTATCTGGGGCTGGACTTTGTGGGAACTGGCATTACTACCCCGGCTACCACTACCCTGACTGTTGTAGCGCTGCAGGGCAGCTGCAGCCGCCGCTGCTGAAACATCGGCCACATCAGCTGTGGTGGGCGTGGAAGAAAATGTGTAGGAATCATCGCAAGAGTTATCGCTAAGATCTTCATTGGAACCCTCCTCTTCGTCTTCTGCCGCATCATCATCATAGTCCACCTGGCCCGGGCCATTGTCATGGACACAGGCCCGGAATGTGGTGCTACTTGTGTGCTGAGATCCTTGCGGCAGGGCAATAACTACAGCCTGAGGAAATTTCTCATTTTCTATGTAGGCTGTTGTTGTGGCTGCCGATTGGCCTTTTTTCCTGACACCATTGCCTGAGATCCTGCGCCCCAAAATATATTTCGGAGTGCGGGCCTCATTTGTGGGTGTACTTAGGCTTTTATTGTCGGACACATCGTCGTCGTCATCATCATCGGAGTCGCTGCTGTGACTTGATGTTGGAGCCTCGTGGCCATTGTGCTGCTGCTGCTGCTGCTGTCTTTCAATGTCTTGGTCAACCACTTCATCTTCGGGTTCATCGATTTCGAAGCTAGTATCATTGTCGCCAACAACTTCAATGTGATGATGAGTTTTAGTTTGATGTTGGTGTTGTTGTTGTTGCTGCAGCTGTGCTTGTTCATGGCCTTGCTGGGCCACCACCACTACCAAATCGTCCTGAGAGCCCAAGGATGAGGATGATTTTGGTAGGCCACTACTACTACTGCTGCTGGCAGTGGCACGTATCATGACTATGTGTGGCTCCTGCTGCTTCTAGGTGCCTGCCTGCTTGCCAACTTGTTTGTGCGTGCTTTGGTGTTGTTGTTGTTGCTTCTTCGAAACTCCAATGGCATTGATTACCGGAACCTTTGCGTTTTTTTTTTTTGTACTTCTCTGTGTTGTTGTTATTGTTGTAGTTATATAAAATTTTAGTTTTATTGTTGTATTTTATGGGCTAAATGTTGAACATTGATTTTTCTGGCCCAAAAATAGGAGTTTGCGGGGGTGTTTTTTGGGGTAGGTTTTGAAAACTTCTGCTTTTTCGTCTTCCACTTCTTTAAAAATTGCACTCAATTTAATTGCACTAGGAATTTTCGTTATCTTTTTCTTTTGTATTTAGGTAAAATTTATTTGTTATCACACTCGGTACTCTTCTAACATTTAACTTTCAAAGCTTGTTTCAATATTTTTTTTCGGTTAGAAGTTTAATAGGTTTTTTTTTTTGTTTTGCTTGGCAATCACAGTTCAGATCCAACATCAAAAATACAAACAAATAAAAGTTCAGTTCTTTAACAATTTTTTTACGGTTTCAATTGATTTCGTTACATTTTTAATGATTTTCTATTTTTTCGAAATCTTTTGTCACTTTGCTAAAAAAAATATAAAATATTTTTTTTTTATTGAAATTTTATTAAAGTTTTTATTTTCACTCATTTTATGTTTTTTATTTTCAAATTCCATTATTTAATATTTTTTCCATTTTTCCTTTCAATTTTTTTCTCTCCAACTTCGCCGTTGTGTTAAACTTGAAATTTCCTCTTGTAATGGTTTGTTTCTTTTTTTTCATTATTATTATTTTAGCATTTTTTTCTCTCTCTGTTCGCTTCTTACAATTCCTTTCTCTTCTACATTGAATTACATTCATTCATTCATTGATTTTTCTGATATATACATATATATATGTGCTTGGATAGCAGCCAAACTGTCAAGAGAAACGGCAACAAGAATAAAAACAACAACAATGACAACGACAACAGAGTAGGTAACAGTGATAGAAGAGAACAAATATTTACTCATAGAAACAAAAACACTCAGAGATGCATGGAGGCACATAGAGACAACCACACACACTTCTCAGAACACATGTGTGTGGCGTCAGGGATGGAAAATGAAATCTATGAATATATAAGAAAAATGTACTTTCTGGACTTGTAAAGAAACTTTCGAATCTAGAAAGAACTTTCAGAAGAAAATTCTAGAAAAATAAATCTTAAATAGGTTTCCTCGAAAAAGTTATAAATTTTTTTAAAATATAAACAAGAAAATACTGAAGGATTGATACCCAAATGTTGCCCATTAACCGATTATATTATATTATTTACCCTTAGATCCACGATTATTTTAATATTTTTAATTTGCTATATAAAATTCCCATTATTTCAAAAATTAAACTTTTTGGCCTATAGAGCGTATGATTGTTATTAATAGAGAGCACCTTTATTAAATTAACTATATCTCCGGCTGTTTTAAAGATATTTTAAACATGTTTGCAGATTTGGAAAGCTACAAATGTGGCCTTTCAACAAAAAATAATGTGCATATTCTTAAAAATCTAAGTTGTATACTTTTATTAGAAAATATTTACTTTTGGAAACAAACAACTTTTCAAGAATCTTCCATATTTATACAGGTCTTTTAGAATATTAATAATAATTGGTACCTAGATTACCCTTGGATTCACGATTATTAACACATTCTTCATTTGCATTATAAAATTTCCCATTATTTCATAAAATAAATTGTTTGGCCTATAGTGCGTATAACTGTTATTAATAGGTAGTACCTTTATTAATTTAACTATAGCTCCGGCAGTTTGGAAGATATTCTAAACATTTTTGCAGATTTGGAAATCTACGAATGTGGCCTTTCAACAAAAAATAATGTGCAAATTCTTAAAAAATTTAAAATATATACTTTTATGAATGAAGAAAATATTAACTTCTGGAAACAAACAACTTTTTGAGAATCTTCCATATTTATACAGGTCTTTTAGAATAATAATAATTGGCACCTAGTTTACCCTTGGATTCACGATTATTAACATATTCTTCTTTGGCTATATACAATTTCCATTATTTCAAAAAATAAACATTTTGGCCTTTAGAGCGTATGATTGTTATTAATAGAGAGTACCCCATTGAATTAACTATATCTCCGGTAGTTTTAAAGATATTCTAAACATTTTTTGCAGATTTGGAAAGCTACGAATGTGAAATTTCAAGAAAAAATAATGTGTAAATTCTTAAAAATCTAAATTATATACTTTTATGGATGAAGAAAATATTTACTTCTGAATCTTACATTTATACAAGTATTTTAGAATACTAATGACATTAAAGGGCCATAAATGCATAATGGCAACTATATTTTACAATTTGCTCCTTTATAAGTACAGTACTAACTCTCCAAATTCTAAATTATATAGTTTCATGAGTGAAGAATAAATCGAATAAACTCTTTGACCCAGGGTGCGTATGATTATTATTAATAGAGTGAAACTCAATTGAATTATTCATATTTCCGGAAGTTTTGAAGATATTCGAAACAAGTGTGAACCTTCCTCAAAAATATCGCACAAATTCTTACAATTCTGAATTATTAACTTTTATGGGAGAAAAAAAATATAATAGGCTTTTTTGATTGAGTTTTCATCAACAACAAAGATTTTATCTAACATATCCTACAGGAGTATCTGTGATTTACGATTCCCAATGTAAATAATATTTATTACTCTTTTTATAAGCCGAAATATCCATCGTTTCCATTTATAAGCTCTTTGACCCAGGGTGCGTATGATTATTATTAATAGAAGGTAACTCAATTAAATTAGTCATATCTCTGGCAGTTTTGGAGATATTCAAAACATTTCTTCAAATATGGAAAGCTAAAAAAGTGTAGTTTCTACAAAAAAAAAAAAAAAAAAAAAAAATACAGCAAAATTTTTTTAAATTCTGAACTATATACTTTCATGAGTGAACAAAATGTACTCATAAAAACATAAATACCTTTCGAGGATCTTTCAAAGATGGACATGTCTTACAGAAGAAAAGAGAATTCTACAATATTAAGGCCTGCCATAGAAAGTCCTCCCCTCTTCCAATACTGTACGTTTTTCTAGAGACGGAAAAAACTCTGCGACCCAAATGTTGTCCATGGATCTATAGTGGCTACTAAATATTTCTTAATTTAACCTGGTTATTACCCGTAGTAATGTTAAGAAGGACTTCATAACTAATGATTCCTACTATAAACGATCTTTATAACACTTTTAATCTGCGAAATATCTCATATTTCAATAAATAGAATATTTGGCCCAGGGTGCGTATGATTGTTCATAATAGGAAGCACATCAATTTTAATAGTCATATCTCCGGAAGTTTTGTAGATATAACAATTATTTTTTCGGATGTTGAAAACCAAGAATGTGGGTTTTTAACGAAAATTATGGATATGGTTCTTAATATCCGGATTTACATAGTTTACAAAAGAAAAAAAATAAATATAAATAAATAGACATTTCGCCTTCAACAAGAATTTTACCATGTTATCCCCAAAAAGCACCTAAGAGTTACGATTCCAAACAAAAATAATCATTATTGAACTTTTTTAGCTACAAAATAGCGATTATTTCAATAATAATAACTTTGGACCATGGAACGTATGGTTGTTATTAATTTGAAGCACGCCTACTAAAATAGTCCTATCTCCGGAACTTATGTATTTATTACAATTATTTTTTCGGATATTGAAAGCTAGGAATGTATTCGTTAAACGAAAAATATAGAAATAATTCTTAAAATTCCGATTTACATATATTTCTTACAAAAGAAAACATTTTTACAAAACAACATAACTCCGTGTGAGTGGAATTTCGCCTTTAACATGGATTACAATCTAGTTATTCTCAAGAAGCGAGTAAGATGTACGATTCCAAACCAAAACTAATCATTATTGAACTTTTTGGCTGCAAAATAGCGATTATTTCAATAATATTAATTTTGGACTATGAAGCGTATAATTGTTATTAATTCGAAGCACATCTACTTAAGTAGTCATATCTCCGGAGCTTATGTAAATATTGCAACTATTTTTTCGCATATTGAAAGCCAAGAATGTGGTCTTTTAACGAAAAGTATAGAGATAATTCTTAAAATTCCAATTTATATAAATTTCTTACAAAAGATAAAATTTAATAAAATATCAAAACTCCTTGTGACAGGCATTTCGCCTTTAACAATAATTTCATTCTTTTTATCCCCAAAAAGCACCTACGATTTATGATTTCCAACAAAAATAATAATTAATGAACTTTTATATCTACAAAATAATGATTATTTCTGCAAAATTAAATTTGGACCATCTGGCGTATGATTGTTATTAATAAAAGTTACATTTGTTAAATTAATCATGTCCCTAGAAGTTTTAAAGATATTTCCAATTTTCTTTCGGAAATTGAAAGTCAAGAATCAGGACTTCTAACTAAAAATATAGACATAATTCTTAAAATTCCGATTTACATGGTTTTCTTAAAAAAGAAAAATTATTTTCAAAAATAAACAAACTCCTTTTAAGTGGCAATTCCTTTTCAACAAGGATCTCGGTCTAGTAATCTTAAAGAATCTCTAAGATTCCAAGTCTAAATAAGCATATTGCACTTGCTAAGCTGTGAAATATGCAGTATTTTATTCCAAATAATATTTGGCCTTTGATGCGTATGCTTGTTATTAATAGAATGTTCTTCATTAAATTAGCCATATCTCTGAATGTTTTCCAGATATTTTCAATTTGTTTTCTTTTACTGAAAGCTAAGAATGTGATCTTTCTATGAAAGCTTTAAAGATTATTCTTAAAATTTTTGATCAAAGAAAAAAAACTACGAAATATTGATTATTTTAATAAAAATACTATTGGTACTATTGGGGCGTATGACTGTTATTAATTAAATGTACATTTATTAAAGAAGTCATATCTCTGAAAGTTTTGTAGATATTTTGAATATTTCTATGGTTATGGAAAGCCAAGAGTATTCTTTTTTTTGGGTGAAACTTTTATGGGCCTTATGCTGGGTCATCTATGAGTAATTTATGGATAAAAATGTCTATGTCTATTTCTGCAGATATAATTTCGCTTTTATATCTTTTTATAGGAAGAAGGAGATGCATGAGTTTTATATAGATTGGAGGAAATCAGCGGGGATTTTTATTATTTAACAAATTTCAAAGGTCTATCTGAATTATAATGGTGGACTTCCAATATTTCTAGATTTTTCTCAAAAACCATGTAAGTTATAATCGTCGATGTTGGACGAGTTTTTGAACAATATTTTGACCTGCATTAGGAGATTTTTTTAGAATTTTATTAAGACCGTCAGAGTTATAACCGTGATTTTTTTTAAATTTTTTAACGCCATTCCTAGCTACAAAATTAATTTAAAAAAACTGAATTTTGAAAGATTTTTTTTTTTTTTTTCAAAAACATTCTGAGCAACATTCAGGGATTTTTTTGCATATTTTTAAGGACTGTGACGAAGCTCATAAAAATCTGATCAATCGTGGATTTTTTATGATATTTT